CCAAGTAACGAAGCACAGCTACGTTCGTTTGTTGGAATGTCATCGCATAATTGTCGGTTCCTACCCAACCTCGCTTCCGTTATAGCACCACTTCATGACTTGTTCATGAAAGACTACAAGTGGTTATGGGGAGCGAAAGAGGAACAAGCATTTGGGAAAGCGAAAGTCCTTCTTGCTTCTTTACCATTGCTGGTAAATTTCGATCCAAAAGACCCTATCATCTTACAGTGTTATGTTTCACTGTTTGGGGTGGGAGCAGGCCTAGGGCATATGGTTCACGACGGAACTAGTCGTCCTATTGCCTTCGCGTCTCGCACGTTACATACTGCTGAGAATAATTATGCGCAAGTGGATTAAGAGGCACTGGCAGTGATTTTCGCGGTCAAACGTTTCCATCAGTATTTGCGGGGTAATCGGTTTGAGATACAGACTGATCATAAACCGTTGATCGGTAAGGGACAAGGCAAGATATAGCAAATAAACGCACCCCGAGTGGTACGCTGGGCACTTCTACTTTGTGCCTACAACTATCAAATCAGATACATCACTGGTTCTCACGATAATGTTGCTGACACTCTCCGTAGATTACCACAGGTTGCACAACAGGATGAACAAAGTGGAGCGCCATGCGAATTTGTTCGGCTGTTGCAACACCTAGACACTACAACAGTATCCAGTGATATGGTTAGGAAAGGTACCGATCACGATCCGGTCCTATCGAAAGGGAAACTTATGATGCCACGCGGTTAGGCCCGCGATCTATTAACGATCTGCGTCCAGTTTTCAATTGTCGATTTGAGCTAAGCCTAAAGGAAGGGTGTATTTTGGGTGGCACTCGTATCTTTGTCCTGTTGTGGCACAGATCACCTGTACTGAGACAGTTACACGATGCTCATCCGGGGATCGTCCGCATGAAAGCTCTGGCCAGGTCATAGTGCATGTGGCTGGCGATCGATAGAGATATGGAGGCGCGTTTGTATAATTGTGCCACATGTCAGAAGTATCAAAATGACAAACCAACCGATCGCATCCACCCTTGCGGGATGCCCGACGGTCGATGGCACCGTGTCCACGCTGATTATTTCGGTTCAATTGAAGCGAAAATGTTGTTACTCCTAGTGGATGGGTGATCCAAGTGGATAGATGTACGTATGGTCGCTAACGCTACTACGAAAACTACCATCAGTAAGTTACGTTGTAGTCTATCCATTCACGGTATCCCGAAATCATTGGTCACACATAACGGTCCACAGTGCACCAGTGCAGCGTTCAAACAACATTTGCAAGAAAGGGGCATCCACTATATGATTTCTGCACCATACCATGCAGCATCAAGCGGTTTAGCAGAAAGAGCTGTAAAAACCGGGAAGGCCGGTCTCCTGAAGCAATGACATGTCTGTTTGCGCACTAAAGTTGACCGATTCCTATTCGCGTATCCCACCACACCGCTGGAGTCCATCTGAAAAAAACCCTGGGGAGGCTACGTTTTGGCGTCGGATACTTAAGAGGCTAGACTTACTTACCCAAACCCCTGTCAGGCCAAGCCTTGCCAACAACAGCGCATGCATTAGAGTGGTCGCGCACCAACTAAACCCCAGGATTTTTAGCAAAACGAGATGTGTACACGAAACTCCCGCAAAAGCAGGTATGGCAGCCAACAACCGTGCATTTAAGTTCAGAAACTGAGACGGACCAACAACTGGAAAGTGGAGAAACTGTGCAGACACAACGATTTCATCCGTCCCCGCACCTCAGTCGCACCATACCCTGAGGAGGAGGGTGTTGTTACAGAAGAGCATGAGGAAACGAACAAAACTCAAAAGGACGACGCCGATCAGCCGATCGCCATTCGAATGCCACGGCGTTCGCCTAAACCGATAGGACGTTAAGTTTTACAAATGTGCTTTCCTCCGCCACTTAAGGGGAGGTTATGACCGCACGTGCTAACGTTACTCAAACATCAAGGCGATTGATTGAACAGCAATGTCACATTGGTCGATACCAACTGGCCTTTTATTCTTGTTCGGATTGGCGCGTTGTACCATTTATGTTTACCGCTTTCGATGTATGTGCCACAATACAATACTGCGTTTGCCATCCGGTTGTGACTTCTCACTCCAAGTTCGGGGCTACGTGTCCAACTACGAAATAGGAATACTTGAGCCATATCAATGAGGCAACAACTTTTCGCTTGCCAATTAGTGAATACTAAGAACCAAGAAATCTCAGGGGTCAAACGTTGCAACATACCGCGCTGCAATCTACCTGGGTCTTACAAAGGTGACCCGACGCTTACTTCCAATTAACTGTCTCGGAGAAAGGTATCGGTACAGGGAAAGTTGACGGAACTATGCACTGCCAATGAGTCCCAATAGAATGAACTAACAGCTCAGCGTTTCTACAGCCGGCTGGTGGCAGTACGATGCATAATATTGCTGAAACAAAACAAAAGCATTCCATCTTCTCACGTTTAGTGTTTGATAAGGGAAATAAGTGTTAATTCAATCCCGCTTTTCAGTAGCTTAGTTTAGGTGCTCCAATGAAGATTGGTCCCATAGTTTTAATTTTAATGAATAATTACTCCGGCTTAATAACTCAGAGTTAGGTACAACGTGTAGGAGGTAACAGCATTTCACATGATACAGCTACGACAAATAAGTTACACAATGTAACTTCATCCATTTTGTATAGTGTTCTACCAGTCTCTAATAGTTGGGGGGATAATTGATGTCTGGTCAACTACGCCATAAAACTTGGTATCGTTTGACAATAAGCCGGTTCTTGTGCGACCTAGTAAAAGAACTTGACAGGAGAAGTATCTGTCTGGTAGATCTTTGCCTGTTTTAAACTCGGGGCAACTAAATGTAGTGGATCAGTTTTCCGTAATGGTCAGCTACACATTCCTGGTGAATTTGGCTCATTTCAACCGGTTTACTTTGTGGCATGGGCCTTGTCGTTCGAGGTACGAAGGAAAATATCAATCGCGGATGTAAGAAGTTGGTCTATGTTAATTGCTAGTCTACTACCCACAGTTACAGAGTGACTATTTCAGTGCACCCATAATCTACTATCGAGTATTAAGCTAATATCAATTTAAGTCTCTTATAAATCATTGTTCAGCAGAGGGGCGTGAACCTATGGTCAGAAATTAGTTTCTTGTGGTCTCTTCTATCTCTTTAAAATAAATGACTATGATCAGCCCTGAGGATAAATTGCATTATCGATAAGCAAAACGGTCAGGGAGTTTGTAACCGTTAAAATGGACTAAAACGTTCCCCGGTGGAATGTTCGTTTTAATGATCCTAGTTCTTCCAAGGTATTTAGCTTTGTCAATGTTAGTTAAGGTCCGCATCCTCAAATCTCTGGTGAAATTCATGTGAAACGTTCCCTGCCTGCACCAGCTGTCCGAGGAAATGTACATGGATAGATATGATTACTAAGCTAAGTAACATAGTACTGGAGTTTCGGTACAGAATTTCTCATATAGTAGCCTTGCCGACAGACAGGTCGAAATAAATAGCATAAGCTAGAGTGATACGCACTTTCAGACAGCTCCACAAATACAATGTGAGGTCTACTGTGGCCCGCAAAGAAGGCAACACCGCGTAACCTGGACAATGAGCTACTTATGGTTAAAATACTGCAACCGGCTTATCCCGCACTGAATTCTATAAGTACCAACCCAAAGTCTCTAGTTAGATGGACACTGGAATCTGTTCATGATTGCAGCACCTTAGAGTTGCTTCATATTGCACTAGATAAGGCTCACTTGGTAAGGGCTTGCATTTATCAAAAGGAGTGAACTTCATCACAGGACAAGATGAGGGACCAGACAGTGACCTTTCTCTAAGATAGCGCCAAGGATACTAATAAAAACACTATTTAACGAGGAATTTGGAACCGGTACATGAAATCTCGGCTCAGATCCATTATAAGGACAAGTTTGGGAACAGTAGGGGACTAACAGTAGTTATGTCCGTTAATAACTGTTCTTGCTGACCCTAACTTCCATTCTGGGTTAACCCCACAACTTTTTGGATGAGCTCCAGACGAGTGGTTATAAAATAAAAAGAGGACAATAACATGATTTGAACCGACCGATTTTTAAGTGTTTGTATGGTATTCGCAAAAGTCTCACTAATATTGATTGCACGCATTACAGTCACTGGGTGTAACAATAGCAGCTTAAATTGTTGGTCATGGCAAAAGATGTGCGTACTGTAAGTGGACTGAGATTGCACAACACTCAATCATGTCCTCGTCAAGTGTAAGCTTTAAAGCTCACGGCTTGTCCCGTTGAAGTAGTTTAATGCATTCAGAGTACTTCCCTCTGAATGCTAAACTGATGCTATATTTCCATTGCCATAGTCTTGGCCCCAACCTAAAAGCGTCCTGTGACAGGATCCGTCGCCATTTTGGCATCAGTAAATATAGTCCTGCTAAAGGGGCTAACCTGGACACATTATATGCGAAATAAGTTATGCGAGAATAATAGTAAGTCCTGCTGAAGGTAGAGTTGGTATGCACAGAATTGTTAGTATAGATAGGAGTGCAACTGAGTTGGCGTGACAGGGATGGCTTTTTAACCGTCTGGTCCGAAGAGGCCGTTTGCGCAACTGATTTCATGAATGGAATGGCGCAACTGTTTGCAAGTGATGCTAAACACACTTTGTTATATGTGCTATCTCGTCGGATCACTTTTATACCTTACATCAGGCTATTACACTCAGCCTAAGAAGGAATGGTAATACGCGCGACTACTACTTCAGGTCTGGGCAAGTGAACGGCTCAGTAGTACTGAAGTATCCTACAGGAGCTCGTAGCACCTAGTACACCGGTATTGACCATCTGAGGCATAAAGGTTTACTGAAGGCAGTCAGCACCATGTGCCTGGAAGGAAACGCTGTATGAAAACAGCACACAATGCATTATTCAGTAAACAACTGCACGGGCGGTGGCGTGGGAAACCCACTTGGACTTGATGGGCCATAGAAACACGAATAATCTCTCTTTTACTCTGGGATTATGAATATTGTTAGCAGTGAGAAGGGTCCAACCCCAACCTCGGGATACAATTTCACTCTGTCAACTCAAACACTTACCTTGGTGTACCTCTGGAGGGCAGGTGCAAATTAATCCGCCTCTTTGTCCCGTTTCGGCCCGCGATTGCTTCGGCAAAACAGAGCTCTCGGTGTCGCCCAGCAATTGTTTCTGTGGAACATTGAGATGCGGTTTGAAGCCTGTTAGCCCGGGTCCATGTTGCTGTAGCAGCACAAGGCCTGACGGAGTTGATAATAATTGCTGACGCATGTTTAGATCGGTTGGCACAGGATGATTACCCTGTAGTTGTCGAAGTAAGTCGGAAGGCGCCACGGCATAATACACTGTGGGGGCCGTATTCGCTTGTTCATCACCTGCGCGGTGGTTCGTTATGCTGGTTGACTGTGTAACTGAGATGGCCGAATTGAGAGGTAACACATTATAGATGATTTAAGTGGGTTTATCAGCTTATTTAAAAGGGTTTTCTATTAGTTGACCGTGGTGGGCGCTGAGACCCGACTAACCCCCTTAAGGCAGCTGAGTAAGTTGAAGATGAGAAAACAAACTAAACGGTTTCTATTCCTTATGACATATTCATACCAGCCTGTATCTCCTTAGTCCTTTGTAAGCGCATGTTCAAAATAATTTGTTCGGAATGTCCCATTTATTTGGAGAGAGAAACCAATATTTCCAGTCTCAGGTTTCCTTTCTAAGGGCGACTTGATACTGATTTCACTGGAGAGAGCTTTGACTGCTAAAATGTACCTTATGATGAAGCGACACATGTACGAGCTTCGCTTGCAGTGAAGCAGAGTCTCTCTGTTCAAATAAACACAATGATTATCATTATTTAGTTTAGGAAATAGATATTCTATGGGATTTGCGAGTAGTCCCACTGCACAAAATCCGGAGGGGGCTATTCTGGTAATTTTGGGTTAACTGTAGGCAGCAGCGGCACTTTCACACTTTGCTGTCAAAGACGGATGCAGGGTATCACCTAACACATCGATTTCTTCCGCAACCGTTTGTTAATGCATCAAGGATCTCGACGTTGCATGTCCATTGTGCCCGCAATGGGCACTCGACACATGCAGCGAGTTCAGAAATATTGCACAGGGAGTTTGATCGGGATAAACTTATTGCCCACATTTGCAGTGCTTCTGTTGTCCATATGAATTCATCTATGCCAGTCTATCTCACGAGCACCACATTCGTATACAACCTCTCATCTTTTGTTCAGAATCCGTCTAAAGCACCACCTGTGAGCAGTTGACGCGAAAGCTTCCTATCGTTACTCCACCGTTTCATTAACCTTAGAACTGTGGTTCTCAACCTTTTGTGGTTGTTACCCCAAAAGCACGTTCATTATAAACCATTACCACCAAAAATTTTTCAAGTTTGCATGCTAAGTTCCTATTAACTGTCGCATTTGCTATTTTAACGTCCGGAAAATGATTACTCACTGTAATTATTTTTTCATTAGAATCTAGAAAACAGTTAGTTTAGAGCAATCTTTTTTAAATCAAGATGTGAGGTAGGTCAATGAGATGGTTGATAAGGCTTAGTTGCAACAATTTTTGTTATCTTTGTTGCGGTTTCGGCTAATGCACGTCGTAACTCGTGCTTCAAGTTCATTCAGTTCCTTGCCATGTTGTTTGATCCTTTATCAAAGATGAACAGATTTCATTGGCTTTTCATTTTTTCAACCGTCTCTTTCTATTCTTTCCTGTATGGTAACTCCTTACCACTACTCTTTATCGGTACGTCCTGAACACTAACCGCAAGTTTGGTGCCGTCTGCCTTGTAAACATTCGGTCCCTCCTTTACCATCTCAGCTTACCTATGCTCCCACCTTAGTGTCCACTCATCTGCAATTCGACCCGACGAACGAATGCCTGACTCAATAAAACAATGGTCGACAAGTCAGCCGATCGAGGCGCCATCTCGCAGCCGTAATTTAAGCGACAAACTTTATTACCGAAAACTGACTAATTCACTGACCACTGATTAGTCACCGATTTCGAATCAGTAGTGATTAGAAAGTTAGTTAAATGTTTTGATACAGATGTTTTTGTTATTAATTTTGGTTGGCGACAGCTTAATGACCCAATCCTCGGGCTAATATTCACCCCCCTAAAATTACATTTTAACTCCTTATGGGTACTTACCCCCAGATTGAGAACTGCTGCCATAGAACAATGGGAACTGAGTCGGATAGCACTGTTCAGTTTAAAATTACCAGGCCAGGGCTTGCACAACAGAAGTATTTAGTGCGAAATGTACAAAACAACTATGCAGTAACCAAGGCTGCTAACTGCTGCACTTGAATGCTTACCAATTCCGGACACATGTTGTGGATAGTAAACAACCAACTGCGTGGTCGTCGTTGCCGGCAATCCGTTGGCTGACACCACGTGAGCCATTCTCACAGGATTGTTTGCTTCGCCACTGGATCCGTCCGGGACCACGACACTTGCAAGCACTACGCTTGAGGAGACTGGGACACTAGACTGCTTTTGTCCACTAGAATGCACGGATCCGCTCGCCTGTTGATGCACAGGATAAGCGAGTACTTGGTACGACTGACCAGCATGCATCGCTGGTAGGACGGCTGCGTTGCCTGCTTGGTTGGCCAACACAACGGGTTGGTACCTCTGTCCTGTTTGGTGTATCACATGGTCCATGGACCGCGGCAGTGTTTGGACCTCACGTAGGTTGGAAGCAGCAACCAGAGCGGAACGAGATGGCAAACCTCTATGGATGAGGGTATCGAACAGAGCTGGAACTCCGGAACCCTGTATTAAAGCGTGGGTAGGCCGTGAACCTCCAACTACTACGTGACCGGAATGAGCAAGCTGCGCCAGCTGCAACGCCGGGGTCGTAATAATTACCGGCTGCGCAGTGGTACACTGACCACAAGGAACGGGAGTTGGGTTGACCGAAGACAACAGGGAATTGGTTACTTTTGTATTCGTGTCCATTGTTGTAAGCGTGTGGTCACTGCGTATCGCGGAGGAAATGCTTTCGGAAGCGTGATGGTTCAGTTTGACCGTTGAATCCATTCGCACATTCCTGTGCACAGATGCAGAATGAAAATTGTGATCAGCGTTGCATGTAAAATTTGCAGGAATAAATTTCCTTTATTTCATATTGCATAACTGGTTGACCTGTAAGCGCAACAGCCTTTCGGTGGAAAGGTTTATTGGTGAGAATTTTTTCATCTTAATTTTAATGCAACAAAGGTTAGTGTTGTCTGCGTAAAAGCTGTAGACACTCTCTTGTGCAACAGAAGAGGTGTAAATGGAAAATACATCGAAAAACTGAAGTGAGAAAAAGCCATAGTTCTACTTGTCAATAAGAATACATCGTTCCTATAGCAGTTGGTAGGGTCAAATCATCATTTCTCAGTCTCAGTGGTTTCTTAATCTACTGCATAGTGCGTAGACAATGACCGGAATAAATGAACGATAAAATAGTTTTTTGCAAATTGGTCAACCTTATCTGTTCGAGTCTGTTCTTCCCTTTCCTATGTGAATTTCTGACAGATATTATGCTTACATATCCCCTCTTTTGAGAGTTGGTTAGCAGGCTGTGACACCTTGTTTTCACAGTCGATTCACACGTGCACACGTGCACACACGGCGCCAAATTTGAAACGCTCGCGCGGCAACAGTACATTCTCTGAGCTTCGTTTCTCCTTACGGGGTATCAATTCACGGCTGTGTCAGGTCACCGGCCAGTACAGGAGACAATTTATTTCTGTCAACAAGAGACTGCCGCAGTAGCACTCCGCAGAAATCGGCGGCAGTTACTGCACCGAAAGCGTAAGCCAGTCGTCAGGTAGTAAACACTCCAGAAATTATGGTTTGACAGTACAGTTCGATACTGATTCCATTTTTGTTTTCCTGTCGAGTTACCACATTGCTTCGAGGCACGCGGAAACACTTACAGTACTAATCGTTTTCTACCTGATAGTTGCACTCAACGGTACTAGTTATTTGGCCAAACTGAGAAGCGCTCAATGGAGTGCTTGGAAATACCACTGTGTGATTGGTGGATAGTTAGTAGGTTGTGCTGTGTAGTAGAGCAGGTTTATCCAGTCCTGTGCAAGTGATTGCTTCACTTTGCAGCAAGAAGTTGTGTGAAGCAACTTATTCACGCAACGCATGGTTCAAAATGATCCCTTCAAAGGTTCAGTGACTGTTGCAGTAAGCGTTCCTTTTTGCTTGAAGTTGCGGGGAGTGAAGCGGTCAGCCTGGTTTCCAGTACTAGTCGTGCTTTCTTAACTTGAGGGGCATAGACTTCTGCGGCACCGGTTGTGTGGTACATAGTATGGAGCTAGAAACACGTCTCATTTGTTGTTCAATGGTCTAATTTGCTTGCTGCATCGTTTATTGAGGACATCAGTTGGCAGTTGAGCGACATCCTACAGTAACAAGTCAAGGTTTTACTGTGCCATCCTAGTGTGGTCTGCTTCACGGGCACCCTGACGCATTTGACCTGCACGCCAGAAAGGACAGTTACAATCACACAGGTGCGAGATGACCGTTGTGACCCTGGCATAAATGTCAGAAACAGGAGAACAACTGTTAACCATCAACGATAAGGCATTCAAATCGTTCGTAACATTCGTGCAACCAGCACAATGTCTAGGGTGCCTCAGGTTAAAGACATATGTGGATCATGTGCCATAATTGTCAAAGTAAGCCTTTCATGTCGCAACCTGAAAGGTTGTTCATGCTAAATGTGTCCGAGTGAAAGCTAGCCAAGCCAAGTTAGTAAACAAACCAGATTCGTTATGGTAGTGTGAAATGTACTTTTATCCTACTGATAAAAAGCCTGCTCATATTATCTCAGAAGCACAACCAGCTACCAGTCAAGTTTGAGGAAATGCCGATCAGCGAAATAAGCTTAGCGAACTGTTCAATCCAAGTCTCCCAAGTGAGTACTCCTGAGGGCAACGGCTGGTAACACCGTAAGCAAAAAGAATGCAATATCCCAGAAAATTGATTGCTGTTCTACTATCACAGGCGGCTCCCATGCTGCAAATACGGTTCTCAGTTCGAGCGGAGTAACTATATGCAAGGCTTTGTCCAACTTCCCGACTGTATTTAAACTAGTACATCTAGTGGGAATTACGCGGCACTCCAACCCTAATCATTACGACGAGCCAAGACTTTTGCGCGTTATGTTTTTAACTTCACCACAGAGGTTGAATCAGTTCTACTGTCGTTAGATTGACTCAGAAATAAACACTGCTCCATCTATCTCTCTCCAGACATCCCATGGGGTGAAGGTGATCGAATTTACTACAGCTTAGTAGACCAGGGGCAAGCTGTCGCCACCCTTCAATATCTCCAGCGGTGTGAGACAAGGATGCCCGCTGTCACCTTTCCTCTTCAACTTTGCTATTGACGAAGTCATGGAGATTGCATTTACAGGACATGACTTGGAAGGTGTGGAGCTACTCCCAGGAGAATGACTTCTCGACTTTGAGTATGCAAACGACGTTGCCCTCATCTGTGACAGCTCCCAGACGTGCCAAGCCGCGATGGACAGATTAGAACTGGCTGTCAGTTGCTTCGGGCTTTGCTTTGCACCTTCGAAACGCAGAGCGTTCCTCCAAGATTGGCAGGGATCGCCTCCTACGCTGACCCTTGGTGGGGATCAGCTAGAAATCGTTCAGAAATTCACTTACCTGGGAAGTTGTATCAGCGCCCTTGGGATCGAAAACGAGATCACGAACCATATAGCAAAAGGTTGAAGTGCTTTTGCTAACCTTCGACATCTATGACGGCGGCGCGACCTTACTCTCGCCCTGAAGGGTAAAGTGTACAATGCAGCGGTACGTTCGACCTTACTGTACGGTTGCGAAACCTGGCCCTTAAGATTGGCGGACATGAAGAGGCTAGTTACGTTTGACCATCGGTGCCTGCGCAGTTTGCCTCACTTCTGGTGGGAACACCGCGTGAGTAACGAGCGTGTTCGACGCCTTGTTTATGGCCCAGGAAAAGGATCTGAACCGCTCAGCACCGTTATTTCACGCACCAGGCTCCGCTGGCTGGGCCACGTGTTGCGCATGTCAGCCCACCGACTCCTGTGACGTGCGTTGTTTGCGGGCCGAGGGTGTGGATGGAAGAAGAGGAGGGGTGGCCAAGCGATGACTTGGTCCAGAGGAATGAAGCCCCTCACTTCTGTGTTGGCCTCGGTTGGAGCGTCACGGCTCTCTGGTTGGGGTCCAAAAGACGGTGAACACGTTTGGCTGGATACACTTGCTGATATGGCGAGGAGCCGACCTCAGTGGCGTTCGTGCTGTGAGTTTCTTTGTCCCTCCCCATCCCTTTTGTCCCTCCCCCCTCCACCTACGATCTCATTTCTTAGCGTAAAACATAATAATTTCTTTTTTTCCTAGTAGCCGGCTAGTAGCTTACCGGAACGATGCCTATCCGTTACTGATAGCTCAGCTGGCATGCAACATTTTTGTTTCTTTTTCATTTATGTAATGCGGCACAGTAGTTGATTTGTTTCCCACCTCTAGCTGACGTGTGTAATGATGATGATAATGAGTAGACCAGGGAACTTTAACCAGAACCGTTCTTGTTTACTGCGTAACTGAACCTGGAGCATGAGATGAGCATGGAATACCAACTCATGCTAAGGAACCATGGGGTTATATTCGTGCAAAACTCTCCTTGGATGACGTGCTAGCGAAATGTGTGTCACGTCAATGCACTTCACTGAACTACCAAGAGTGTTGAGGGTTGTCCTACTGTTGTAACATATGGTAGCAAGGCTGCTGAAAAGCATATTTTGCTTCAGGCTGCCATTAGAGCTTCGGGTGAAAGCGGCGAGGGTTATGCCCTCCAAAGATTATCTATCACCACAAGAACGAAACTTGTTGTTAACTGTAATAGAATAGGGCGCCAGAAATGTGTCTGATGAGCTCTTAAAACCTGTTGATGAAGACAGTGACCAGACACCTTATGTTGTACGTAGAAGCCTAGATTTGGGACCTTTTACGCAGTCGATGAATAAGGCGTCGAAGCAACTGAGAAGTACCAACCGATAAAAGATTAGTTGTGGGCCACTCACTGATCGACGAGAATTCACAAATGAGTTGCACAACCACAGAAACATTGCTGAAATCCGAGGAAATTTCATGTAGGTACGCTAACGCCCAAGGGCTTCTTATCAAACCTACCGAACTTCAGCTACTTCAGGTCGCGAATACTTGGACCTAGTTTTCATTATCGTACTCTGGTTACACCAAGAAGTTGCTGATGCTGAGTTTAAGATAGAAGGAATGTCACTCATCGGGAACAACTGTCCCAGCAGAGAATGTTGGGTTCTTCTCTACTACCACATTGACCTGCAATATGCAATAATTGATGATCCGGAAACTCATGTTATCGATTCACTCTGGTGCCGTCTGCGACTAAGACACAACAACGCATGTCTTGTAGCTGTCGTTTACCGTCCCTCAACGTCCAATCCGGAAGTAGATTCCCGCTTGATACGTGCCTTGAATAGGGTAACGCGCCCTAGGTGCAACCATATTATCATCGCCGGTGACTTCAATGTACACAAACTGGAGGTATTAGCATCGTCCACTGAACAGTGCAAAACAGACTTGCATTAACTTCTTACTAATATTCCCTTGTAAAATCCTGTCACCACCTCCACTGGAATCAGGAAATCAAACAAACCGTCCATACTGGACCTTGTGCTTACAAATGAAGAGCTCATGATTAATAAGTTATTGATATAGAGTTCATTAGATCTCAACAACTATGTAGTAAGAACGTTGAAGGATGTTTGTTATATAGAGTGCCTATCTGAAGACTCGGAAGTAAGTCACGCAATTACACGCTATCACGTCCCAACAGAATTCGTCAAGGCATCTGCTTGGGAGTTCTCGAACGTCAATTCCTTTGGCAAAGGTTGGTCAGAGTTCCTTTAAAGACTGAGTTACGTGGTCCAAAGAGCACAGGCAACTAAGCTCCTTCGTTCCGCAAAAGTGTACACAGTTCGTAGTTTGCTAACAATGGATGGGAAAATGGAATGTAGTATGGCGTGTCTACAAGGCCTGCCCAGACCCAGAGACTTGGGGCAACTTACTTACCTACCGCAACTACTGCACCACAGTTGTCCGTGAGGACAAAGTAACTTATCAACAGTGCCTAGCCAAAAAAAATCCTGGCAAACAACAAAATGCCATATAGGCATGTCAACCGTCTTCGAAAAATAAAGCATGGCATCCCTCCATTTTTCACAACAAGCGGTAGAGTACAAGGCACCGAAGAAGCAGCCAATGCCCTGCAGCTACAATACGCCGCAATTTTCGAACTCACTGCTTCTGCCTGCACCATAATGTCATGGACATTAGCGACTCCATTGTTCAACCATGTAATTTTCAACCCATCAATTGTGCTTAGGAAGTTACTCTCAATGTGCGACCATAGCTCTCTGGGAGCCGACGATATTCGCCAGAAAGCAGTGAAGGCTTCGACCACCTAGCTAGCTAAACCACTCTAACAGTTCTTCTAAACTTGCTTCGAGGAACAGCAAGTTCACACTATGTGAAATCGTGGCATTATCACCCCAAATTTTCAAGGAGGTAGCTGTTCAGAACCTGCAAACTATGGATCAGTGACCCTCTTCCTTGTGCTCGCGAAGGTGATAGAAACCGTCGTCGCAGAGATTCTAATGGACTATCTGGAAATATGCGACATCTTGACACCGGAGCTGCATGGCTTCCGTCAACACTGGTCATGCACCACCAGCCTGCTGAATGCAAGAGGTAGTTGGAGGGAAATGACTGATTGTGAGGTTGGAGTTGACGTCATCTACCTGGACTTCTTCAAAGCTTTCGACTGTCTGGATCACAGCATCCTACTTCACAAGCTACAGAGCTAGGGAATTGGAGATCCTGTTCTTCGTTGGGCTGACAAATTTATTCACCGACCTAGGATTCAAGTGCGTGTTGGGAGATCACTCTAATGTGATTGACGTGGAATGTGGTGTTTCACAGGACTCGGTACTGGGATCGCGTTTATTCCTGACTCTTAACAACGAGCTGACAACAATTATCTCCTCCAAGTTACTGCTTTCGCCGATAACATCAACAGATGGTAAGTCATTAATGCCAAGGAAGATTACGATCTAATCCAACATGACCTGGATTGCATTTATGAATGGTCAAAGAGGAATCTACTCCAAGTAAACACATCTAAGTGGTAGGTGAATCATCTGCGTCACCAGCCGATGCGCGTGTACAAGCTTGGAGACCACAACTTCCAGAAGGCCTCTTAGGAGCGGGATTTAGGTGTACTGGTACAGTAAAATTTCGAATGTGCAAAACAAGCAGAGAAGGTCTCAAGTACTGGCAATCAACACTTTGGCCTTCTTCGTATACCGTTCCGTCCGTTTGAACCCTCAGTCTTCACCCAAATGCTTGACATCTACGTGCGACCACATGTGAAATATGCTGTCCAGGCGTGGCAGCCGTGGCAGAAACAGGATCTTGTTGCTCTCGAAACTCCTCAACGAACGGCAGCCATGTACGTTAGGGGCCTCTTTCATCTGCCCTACAGCTAGCAGTGGAGCCATTAAGAATGCACAGCAGTTGATATCGGTGTTTGTGAGGGGGTGGGGTGGGGTGTCATAATGGTTTAGCAGATTCTGAAGCACCCAAACCACAATTGCCGCCAGCTGCTGGAACTGAACCACAACACTAAACTAAGAAGTTATCCTCCGAAACTGACCATGCAGTATAACCGGCTAGATTGCCGTAGAAAATTTTCCCACCCTCCTAGTGTCTCAGCCACGGAGTGCTATCTCAAATTACGTCGTTCCTGTCCCCTATCTGACGATAGTAAGAAAGCGACTTGTTAGTCAGGACGCAATAAAACGGTATGTTTCCAAACTCCCAACCAACGGAATAATGGACTTTTATTTTAATGCGCGAACAGGATTCTTTTACACAAATCTATGGTGAGTTCACTAAAACGTTTTCCATCATATCAGGAACTTTTATTTTCTCTGTAATTTCCACCCCACGGGAGTTGTTAAGCAGTGCTCTTTTACCCGTAATACACAATTGTTCCATTGTTCCATTTTCTATGGAATATTTACGCAGCATCTCTTACCTTTGAATATTCAAGTATTGGGTGCTAAGGTAAGAACAGGGATCGAATGGGTAAGATACCGAAACCTAGATACCGCAATCGGACAAAACAAGCAAAACCTTTTCCACTCGTTTAAAATGAAAAATCCTTTACGGCCTAATAAGCGGGATCAATGTCTAGCCATGATAGAGTGTGAAATAAGTTTTGACCAGACGCAGGAACAGCTAAATCCCTCTGAGTCAGTTGTCGTTATTTCGACTACTGAATTCGGTGTATTCTGTTGTATGTTTGTATTGTGAGTTTTGTGGAAAAGCCAACACGGAGCAATACATCTGTAGCCTTTTAGAAATTCGTAGTAATATAGATAGCTATTAACCATGGAACTGCTCAAAGTACTAACCTCTTCCTATGGTCCTCTGTACTCCCAGATCACGCGTTACGCACCTGGGCGTTTTGAGCTGATGTACTAAAATTCAGTCGAACCTGTCTAAGGCGATCACTCAACGGACCGACAAAATGTGTTCGCCTTGGATAGGTGGTCGTCATGGATAGGTTCACACATAGGGGCGTTACTCATAGGAGCAAACCTTGGGGATGTTTTTGGCAGGTCGCCATAGACAGGTGGTCGCTATAGCAGATTGGACTGTATCTGCTGTCGTGTTATTCCTCGAAATGCTGAATGGCATAGAAACGTTTAGTAGTTTTTAATTTATACTGAGACAAGTGCGCTTACTTAGAAGCTTACTGCCGTCCAAACGATGAAGCCCTTAAAGCAAAGTTAGTCGTGTCGCATGTAGACATCCTCCAAGATAGGGTCATCTGAAAATTCAAATTTAAGCTACTTTTGTTCAGTGAACAGCTCTTTTGTGATCAATAACGCTGTGTCAACATCATCTTATAAAAATTAGGGAACACTATCTTCAAAGATGTTAAATGTGGCTGGTCTGAGGAAGTGGTAAAAGTTGATCTAAGTGTCACAGCTATGACTTTGCAGTCCATTGTGGGAGAATTTGCACACTTAGAAGTGGTTACTTTGACAAGATTGCTTCAATTCTGGAGAACCGCGAAGGTGCATATCTACAAAAGTTTCAAGAAGCACTGAAAGCACCCCAGAAACATCGAGTTGTCTACGTAAATGCACTGCAACCGTCTGCATTTAAAATCAACAAGTGGGTTGAAATCTTTCTAACTAAAATCAGCCAACGTAGATTTTAGATTTCTTGTAAACCGTTTTGTACCCTACTAGTTAGCTGAAAACTCCGATTTAACTTCCGAGAGCAACGAGACCATTTGCTGAACAGTGGGTTTCGGTGCTTCATCTTCAGACAGTTACAACCATGTATAGGGGTAAAACAATGGAAATCAACCAAAAATGTTAACAAACTTGAATACAATTGCTCACCAAATGATCTGGTATTTCTCCAAACTATTCGTCCCGTTTGCTTATGGGGCTTAATCACTAGAGCAGATGTCCTTGGCATTGAAGTGCCTCTCGATTGTCTTCCGTGAGACAAACTATTTTGGAGAAAATGGGGCGGAAGGGGTCAGTTGCGTTGGCTAATGACAAAGTGCTTATCAAGCATCGGCCAGTCATTGATCACAAGCTTCAGTAGCACGCCTGTCATTGGTGCGGAAAATGTTCCATCATTCCGATCAACATCACTGAAGCAGCAGTTGAATTGCGCTGTTCTGATCAAGCACAATGAGTGTTTTCCAATGGTGTTTCGATTAATCGTATGTACCTAAAACCGGGCAATGATCATTGACCGAACACCAAGGTGGAAAGGCGTTTAGGTTAACGTCTAACTTCTACTGGACTGTAAGTTACTGTTGAGTTTGTTGGTGTAAAAGGTGCTACAGAGGACTGAATCTCTCTTGACTGCAATGGTTGTTACAAGATTATTTTTGCTAAAGGCGTTACACGAATGGTATAGCACATCATTGGGAAGTAATTGATCATCATCATCGTCATTATACACGTTAGCTAGAGGTGGCAAACACCTCAGCTACTGTGCCACAAGACAAAGAAGAAGTAAAAGAGAAAAATATGCAGCGGTTGCAAGGCGGCTGAGCTACCGGTAACGGATAAGCATCGTTCCGGTAAGCTACTAACCGGCTACTGCGCAGCAAAAATGAACAATTTATATGCAAAATTATAAAAAGCTGAATAGTGAGATAGTGATTGGATGGGGTGGGACAAAGAAACTCAAAGTACGAACGCCACTGAAGTCGGCTCCTTGCCATATCAGCAAGTGTATCAAACCAAACTTGTTCATCGTCGTACGGACTCCAACCAGGAAACCGTGAAGCGCCAACCGAGGCCAGCTCCGAAGCGCGGGTCTTCATTCCCCTTGACCAAGTCATCGCTTGGCCACTCCTCCTCTTCTTCCATCCACACCCCCCGGCGCGCAAACAACGCACGTAGCGGGGGCCGGTGGGCTGACATGCGTAACACGTGGCCCAGCCATCGGAGCCTGGTGCGTGAAATAACGGTGCTGAGCGGTTCAGTTCCTTTTCCTGTGCTGTAAACAAGACGTCGAACACGCTTGCTGCTCACCCGGTGTTCCCACCAGATATGAGCCAAACTGCAGATGTGTCGGTGGTAGAAAGTAACTAGCCTCTTTATGTCCGTTGCTCTAAGGGGCCAGATTTCACAATCGTACAGTAGGGTAGAATGTACCGATATGTTGTATATTCTACTCTTCAGGGTGGGAGTGATGTCGTGCCGGTGCCATAAGTGGCGAAGACTAGCAAAAGCGCCTCGAGCTTCTCATCTCATCTTTCACCCCACGGGCGCTGATACAACTTCTCAAGTAGTTAAATCATTGAACGACTTTTAGCTGATCCCCACCAACGGTCAACGTAGGAGACGGACCATGCCAATCTTGGAGGAACGCTTTGCACTTCGAGGGTACGAAGTAAAGCCCGAAGTGACGGACAGCCATTGCTAATCTGTCCAGTGCCGCTTGGCACCTTTTTGAGCTGTCACAGGTTAGGGCGATCTCATCGGCATATTCTAAGTCAAAAATCGTTCTTCTGAGAGCAGATCCACACATTCTAAGTCGTGTCTTGTAAAAGCGATTTCCATGACTTCATCAATAGCGAAGTTGAAGTGGAAAGGTGACAGCGGGCATCCTTGTCTCACACGGCTGGAGATATTAAAGGGCGACGACAGCTTGCCATAAGCCCTCACTCTGCCCGAGCTAGGCGCGTACAATGGTCGGATAATACTGACATATTTCTCGGAAGCAATTGATAGAAATGTATGTTAATCGTTCCGAAGGTGTTATTGAGTTTTGGAGGTTTGGTCCATTGGGCATGAAGTAATTAGTTCGGCAAGGTTCTTTTGAATATATTCGTAGGGTGTAAATTCTTACAACTATTTGGTATGCAACATACCAAGTTGCAAGGATCACATCAGTGGCGCTTAAGGTTGTGATTGAAGCAATTTGGTTCAACAACCATATGTTCCGAAACATTTCCATTAGAGGGGCACTGAAGATGATGACAACTTGCTCAACAAGTTCACCCATCGTGAAATGTAATCAACAAAACAACGAATTCATTCGTACTTCAACACTACTATGACCCAAACTGTCCGTATAATCTTTTTCCGCTCCAATAATACGAAGGACAAGTAGATCTGCTTCGTTGCTAAGATTAAAAACTTATGGGAGATGGGCTAACTTAAAACTGTTTATTATCATTTATGTCCAATTCCCACAGCTGCTGGCACTGCTTGTAGCAGCTTGTAAAATCGTATACCTGGCTAGCCGAACAACTTCCACGTGGTGCCAGCTGGGTGGTTCGGGTTTAACCCGTTCCAGCAAATAATTCGGCGGCAGTGTTCCAGGACGTGGTGGGTTTTCGACTGGCAAGCCTTCTCCGCATAAAAAGCCGCAAATGTCTGCTTGACAACACTGTGAAGTGGCGGATGTGACTCGCCACTAAATAAAGTCACTGCCCAAGCTTACGCTAACAAGCTTATCAGATCCATAGACGTCAAACATTTCTTCAGACACCCGCGGCGCCATTGAACTTATGCACAAGGACAGTAACACATTTACAAACACAAGAAACATACTTACCTCCATACCTAAATGTATGGATCCACATATATGAAAATCCTATTGTACTATTGCATATTTCTTGCTCAATTGTTGTACTATTAGTATGATTATGTCTTTAATGGCGTACATCGCCTAGCTGAGAATAAAAATTCATTTATTTATTCAATAGTTTCCAGTTCACTACCATGTGGACAGTATGTGCTCCAAACCAGTTAATCTGATTTGGCCATAAATGCTATTCGTGATTTGAAATAAAGATTTTAAAATGGAGAACAGGCCAAAGTAATACATTTCATAGTATATCGCGCAGCCGAACTATGTTGAAAATGTGTAGTATTAGGCGTTGTTCTTTCCTTCGGGTGCTCCATACTTTAACGATAGAGCAACACAGATATGCATCCTCTAGTACTCTATTTCTGTTATTCAGTACTCAGTCCTCTCGCAGATCTGACTTTTCTATCAGTGCCCCCAGTCCTTCACTGACGGGGATACTTTCTAGGAACAGTATGCGTGCTTGCTCTGGTTGTGCAGTTGTGCAACAATCAGCTCAATTTTCGCTAATAGAAATCTAAGCGTTACATTATATTGTGTACACGCACATCTTCATAGATAGGCGTTAAGGGAAGTGCGATAATTACTCGCATTAAGTGGAAGAGCTTGAATACAAACTGGTGGGGATTATCAGTTTTCAGGAGTAAACCAGTGAACTAAGGCTTTTACATTGGAAATGACATCAAACGATCGGATGCCTCAAGAGAAGACAGAAACCACAACACTAAAAATTACAAGCCAGAGACCGACTAAGTCGAGCCATCAGCGGAAAAATGGGCAGACACCTTATCCAGTACAACATGACTTCCATCGCTCGTAATTGGATGCCAAAGTTCATGTGTTTAATCCAGGGACTTTAACGTAGAGAGTATGCTTCGCTGATTAAACGTCGCTCATCCATTCACACATCCCGTTTACTTAATCTAAATAGCACATGAATTAGAACCCAATTAGTCGACACGCTAAGTACATTTCATGACGAAACATCTATGCGAAGAGCTCATTTTCACCCCCTTATGTTTAAAGAAAACGTACGTAAACGGATTTTCTCCTTTTCTGGCGCAGAAGTGCTCAAGAATGGAGCAAAATGCTAAACTCGGTTTTTCTTACTTCCGTCTTCTTCGCTGTTAAGCCACCTATTATCATGGTCTTCTAGCAGAAGACTAATAATAGACTACATTTTACCGGATATCAACTAGTACCAACTGTAGATAATTTGTGGAAAAGTGAATATTTGCATTGAACAGCATGTTTGGCACTGATCTCTATGAATTGACTTCCCATCGTTAGCGCTCTTCAGGTATAGCTAGCACAGCTGAGTCGAATTTTGGACAACGCCAGCGCTACGGTTGAGCAGAAAACTCCAAACTGTGACGGTTGCATCTCTATGAATCAAGTGAACTGGGGTGTGAGCATCATTGATTGGTTACCATAGCATACGATTCAATTGTACGCTAGCCGGACAGGCTTTTATGCGTTCTCACCCACCCATACCTGACACAGCGTAGCTTTGTTGATTCTGCGCTAAACACATGTTCATCATGGAATGAACACGTGCCCATGTATCGTATCAATAGTTCGTTCAGACAATCAATTGTAAGATAGCAGAGGCTATGCTAATTTGTTTTACTATTCTTTTCATTTGATCATCACTTATCAAAAGTTTTGAGCCTTAACAACGCGACTAAAGGAAGTTCGGCGGACTGTTGTCCATCGTGTTGCCAACGCCAGTAGCCCATACAGAGACTGGTAGTTCTCGCTAGTCTGTCATTCATTTTGACAGACCGCTATGCACTGTGCACGCATGTCAGTCGACCATGCTGCGCAATTCGCTAAGATTCCATACTGTACCTGGGCGCATATACTGTGTCATGGTTAAGCAGCAGCCCGGAAGAAAATTTTACTGTGACGGGAGTCTTCACGCACGCATTGGCAGCAGTGGAGCGAAACGATAGATAAAATCGATTTCAGCAACAAAAAAGCGGACGCGGAGAAAACTTGGTGTGTCCTCCTTGTGCAGGGCCAACAGCGAGTGTAGGCCATGGACACCATGCTGAGATGAGCAGGGATAATTGCTGTAAATAACTAGAGTATTCTTCGCAGCGCATTCCAAGTCAGATAGTACTCGGCATGTGTGAAAAAGCACTACAAGGCCGTTTCGTCCATTTAGGTCTCTTCAGAAGTGTGCAGCTTTTCGCCCCATAAAAAAGCGAACCCAAGCTCACTAGCGATTTTCACCGCTAGCCAGCAGCTTATTCACTGAGCCCTGGTGGCAGCGGCGAATCATCATATTCACAAGCTAAATGTGGTGTACCGTCTCATCCGCTGCTGCGATGCAACTTATGAACGTTGCAGAGAACAGGTTTGGCACCTAACAGCAACTGTGCACGACGCATCATTTAGAGGCTGCTTGGGCGCATATTTTGATCTAGTCACCGATGAGTGCGCTGGTGGTACAAGCCTTTCCAGGTCATGGGTTTGATTCCTAAAGAAACCGATGGAGTACTAATGGGGCACTTTGTGTTTCTCCCTGCTTGTGGAGGACAATCTGGTTTAGAAGCTGCTGCAAGGAAATCTCCAGCGATATACATACCTCTGTTTAAGTAAAGATGGTGTTACGA